TGCTGAAGCTGAACAGGTTCAGGTCCCTCAGTCTCTCCTTCTAGAGCCTGTCCTGCTGCCCTCTCACCAAGCAGGTGGCCCTCTCTGAACCCTCTCCAGGCTGGCCACATCCCTTTTGGAGTGCAGTGCCCAGTACTGGATGCAGTACTCCAACTGCAGCCTGACCAATGTCGCATAGAGGGGAAGCATCACCTCTCTGGACTGGCTTGAGATGCACCTTTTGGATGCATGACAAGGTATGGCTGGCCTTGCTGGCTGCAGTCTGGCATTGGCTCATGTTCATCTTGGAGTCAATAATGGCTCCAAGATCCCTTTCCGCCTCTGTGCTTTCAAGAGGTGCAGCCCATCCCTCAGTGTATTGTGGGGGGGAGAACAAATGAAGCACTGGGAGTAGCTTCTGGAGTCTGTGCCAAGGCATTGCTCCCATTGAAGCCAACCCTGCAGTGCTAGCGGCTGCCTTCAGCATGCAGAGAGCTGGGGCAAGTAAGACTTTACTTCTCACCGATTCTTCTTCCTGTGGCTTCCCCCTTGTAGCCCTGGATACTGCATGAGCTCACTAGGTCTCTGGTCTTGACTCCAATAATTTGATTGTTACTTCCTCCTGATAGCCTGTTCAGTGACTTTGAGGCACATGTTAGCCCTTCTGATTCTGATTCACCTAGTTTGTAGTTTTTCATAAATTAGGTTTTTTTTTCCAGATTAAAATGTTGTCTTGAATTTATGCTTTAACTTGCTACTGTTAATGGTTGTGAAAGAAGCAACTTGTCCCTAAAATGCAATTTAATTGTCCAGTTGCATGAACTTGTATAGAGCTGGCTGAAACTCTAGTTTACCCTATTTTTAGGCACAACTGTATTATGACATATCAGGCAAGTTTGAATACACTAGTAATACTAGTGTTTTGGATTCTTCCCCAGCTGGCTAACTGAAGCTATGTTGAAGTACGACATTACACAGTCCAGTGGGTGGCAAATTGGCTAGAGGGTCATACCCAGAGAGTTGTAGTGGATGGGTCGGTATTGACCTGGAAGGGCGTGGGTAGTGGGGTCCCGCAGGGCTCGGTCCTTGGACTGATTACTCTTCAGTGTATTCATCAGTGACTTGGATGAGGGAGTGAAGTGTACTCTGTCCAAGTTTGCAGATAATACAAAACTGTGGGGAGAAGTCAACACACTGGAGGGCAGGGAACAACTACAGGCAGACCTGGACAGGTTGGACAAATGGGCAGAAAACAATAGAATGCTATTTAACAAGGAGAAAT